CTCCCTCATCTCTGACAGACAAAGGCTATCACCCCGAGGAAGAGGTTAAGAAGTTATCACACTTACAACCAGCCCAAGGAAGCAGGTACAGGAATCAAAATCAGTTCAGATTAGCAGCAGGGTGAGGGGGATTATCCAAAGCTAAGCACAGGGTGAAATCCCTCATACAGACTCTATTAACTAAAAATGAAATCTAAGAGCAAAGGTAAATCATTACAGGCGTTTCAGAAGCCTTAGTCACATGCCTCCAGAATACTGCCTGTAAAACCACTGGCAACACTGAAAACATGGTAAGGGGGAAAAAAGGCTTGCAAAGAACATGAGGTGGAAATTCTATCACAAAGAAACAGCTCCACCCTATGTTTGAGCAGCGGAGGTATTTGTTCAAACTTACCTCCCAAAAGTACATCTAGGGGACATCCAGCTACCACAATCCATAGAACAATGGTCAAAAAGGCATCTCTGCTCTGGAGTTATTTTTTCCACTCCAGTGTTTGCAGTATTACTGGCGGTAATAACTATGCTCTCCACAAAACAGATGTTGTGTCATGACCTCTTTACTTTTCCAGGCTGAATTCAACGCCAGCAGTGAATTTTCTAGTGACAAAACAATGTTATGTTCAGCTGCAGTATTTTTCCACCTAATTCACAGCTGCAGGGGGAAAAAAATATCCAACCAACCAGTCAGAACCCTTCATAAATTGCTCAGAGTTAGGAGGGAACTAGTTTTACATAGCGTATTTCAATTCGGGTGACAGAATCCATTTTTTATTGGAAAAATATATTTGCTTAACACCTCCTGGCTTTGATCCTTTCTTTTCCAGACTTGACTTCAGCACCAGATGATTTGTGCAACTTAGGAACTTAAATTCGTGCCCAAAGTATTTTTAAAATGATTAGTGTTTTCTTTTTCTTTGCTGTGACCGCATGAACACCTTTCCACCTTGAACACTAACTTTAAAGTCTAGAATTAGGTAGTAAAGTGCAACTGATGGTGTCTAAACCTTGTTCTGAATTGCCATACATGGGCTTTGCTCAAATAATACCCCACTCAGTGCAAGGGTAAACTGGAATGCTATAGGACAGCATCAGGGCACTTTTCACACTCCTTCCTTTCCCAGGAAGGAGCCATGAAGGAAGCAAGAGTCTGAAATATTCCTGCCTTCAATAAGGTTACAGGCAAAACTCTGCATTCCTCTCCCTAGCTCTGTTCTTCCCTTTTTGAAGATGTCTCACCAAAGCGTGCTATGAAAACCAGAACATGGTTCTTATTTACTGGCCAATTGGAACTACTCATACATCTTCACTGTGCTTAAGGACTGCTCTTAATTTTTTCTTCTTTTTGACACAGCTTTAATTATTTCAGTCTTCTGAAACGGGTCACATATATAACACATCTGTCCTCTTGGTTATATTCCTTTCCATTTCCTTAGTTCAAGGAGATGGCATACAAATTTGGAAGTAAGTCATGCTGAACACAGACCTATCTGTGAACCACAAAACCTACCTAGCAAATCAACACCATCAGATGCTCGCTTACCACAATCAATGCAGAAGTCTGACAAAACAAAACAGAAAACCAGTGTTGTTTTACCTTGCCCCACAATTACAGCAGGAAAAGCAACCACCCCACTCCAGCTGCACGAGAAAGTGCAGACTCATCAGATTCTGTGAACAACACTTACTACATCAGCATATGGTTATAAACATCCCACTGAACTGGGTGGGTGCCTCCTCCTAGACCACAGCAAGGTAGTGCAGGAACCACAGTTCAGATCCATTAACTGAAGAGAACAACCATCTTTCTGTGGAGGTAATCCAAAATGCAACAGAGATAAGCACTTCCTATCACTGATTTGTTCAGATCCCCCAGCTGGTAATGCTTTTGAGCATGCTGTGTGCTTAGCTTCCATGGCCCAGCTGTACCTCAGATGTGGAGGGCCTCAAACTTCATTTTAAGCTTACAATGAAAAAGAACTACGTTTACATAGCAGCATCAGAATGCAAATGAGTTATGTATTTTGTGCTGAACAAAATCATTGCATCTCAGCAGATCTATTGATGGACCAATATGGTTCATGAAGACTCCAGTCCTCTCTCATCCATATTAAAATAAGGGTAATTAAACCACAAAAAAACTGTGATGTTCAAACAGCAAGACATACAACATCTGCAAAAAGAATTTTAAAGTTTAGATCCAAGCACTCTCCAGAAGCCAGCTGAGCTCAAGGTACTCACACTCAGGACATCCTCCATCTGAACTCCACCACCACCTCTTATGGATGCCAGGCTGGACGAGGCCTTGCGTGAGATGGTTTAGTGTGAGGTGTCCCTGCCCCTGGCAAGGGAGTTGGAACTGGATGATCTTAAGGTCCTTTCCAACCCTAACTATTCTATGATTCTATGATGCTAGACTATGGTCAACATTCAAGCTTACATCTATTGCCTTTCACACCTATGAGAGCAGATGAACCATTAAGGTAAAGCTTTTAACTTCCAATTTTTTCTCCTTAAAAAAACCCTAAAGAGATATGCACACGCTTCCCCCACCCTTATTTTTTACAAATAAAATATTTACAACACTAGAAAACACCAGTAAGTGAATGGCTCCTTGGCACCTAACGCTAGCACAACCAGTTGAAGCGTAGTTACATTAAACTTCATTAACTATCAGGCTTACTCCTAGCATAAAACAGGTTTTATCAACAAGGCATTGCTTAAAAGCAAGCTAACAAACTTGGCCATCCCAATCCATACAAACATATATTTTGACAAGAACACAGGGGAAAAAAGTGACCAAAATATGTATCTATTAGGAAATGGTGTGTAAGTTTCTAGATAGAAAAATGAATTTATACATAAATGATCCTAGAAAATGCAATCAAATTTAAGCATCGACTGTACCAAAGATACAAGTAACACTCTACAAGTGGAAGACAAAAACAGAAGGTAAGGGAAATAAATTTTATTTGTTGTTACCCTAACATATAACCAGCTTACAGTTATTTGAATGTCATTCATCCAGCTATTAGAAAAACCACACCACTACGTATGAAATAATAACTTTTTCTCCAAAGAAAGCACTTTAATTCTCTTTTGGTTTGAAGTAAAGGATTTCAGAACATTGCAAAACAGCTTCATGAAATATACAGACAAGCATCCCATTGTGCCTTTGACAGCACACCTGACAGAATTGTAATCAAAAGGGAAATTTGGTCAAGCTCAATCTCAACTTTGGCCCTGTGTTTGACAGTTTGCTGCTTTAGAAATAAAGCAATTAACAGCTTTCACGTTACGGATCACACAGATAAATATGAAACCAGGAGACATCTTCATAGGTCTGTACTTCCTGCCTCATAAAACTTATTAAAATCAAATAAAGTCCAACATAAAACCCAGCCAACCACCACTGAAATGCTTACAGATGAAGTTTAAAAGAGGAATGTATCCTTAATCTGCAAATACACAAAAATTAAGCCACCTTAAATGTCTTCCTGATTCATATGAAATTCCATTAACTTGTTGAGATGCAAGAGATATTTATAAAGCTTGCCCATGTGAAATAAATTGAATTAAAAATGTAACTTCTCTTTAAATGCATACAAAGCATTTAAGAAAGATTTATGAGACTAAACAGCTCACTATTGGAACAGTGAGATCTCACATCATCATACTTGTGGTAACACTAGCAAAAATAATACCACTGCACAGCTGGGATCCTAACACTAGACAAGGCAGCATTACTCAAGCTCATTTTATATGACAGGTTCTTCAATCTCCAAAGCACTTGAAGTGAGGACCACATAAAACTTCTCACTCCAAGTAATTATTAAAATGCATTGTACAGATCGAGATATTCCCAAGGTAAAGCCCCAAAGTCATGTAGAAAAAGACAGACCTAAAAAGAGTTCAGAAGTTCAACTACCTTGGGTTTTTTTTTTTATGGAATTGTAAACAAGTCAATAAAGGAAATAAACTGTATGCAATGATAATTTATGATACAGAAGTTTCAACCCCCTGCAATATATGGAGCTGTACTCCATAGCTGATAGAAATGCAAGACAACTCAGGATTTAAAAATTTAAAAGGCAAAGAACTACCAAATTCATTTCATGAGACAGAATACGACAGAGTTTGTTTGGGTTTAACAGATTTCATAACAACTTCTGAAGAATCAGCAAGTCTCTATCTGGTACCTTTCAGGCGAGCAATGGAGACACCAGCATTAGCTGAGGAAGCTCACCTTTCCTTCCACTGTTGCACTTGGGCTTCTCTGAGGTAATTTGGTAAAACACCAAATCATATAAAGTACCTCTGGTGATTTCCACGTGGAAATGATCAGAGTTTAGGAAATCTTTCTAACAGTACCAGACCAAAGACACCGATACCAGGAAGCATTTCACACTGGGAACTACTGTTACCAGGATGAACTCCACAATGCTATTACAGTGAAGTGGGTTTTTAAGAGGCCTGAGCATCTGCAGAGTTGTTACAGAACTAAACTAAAAGCTTTCAACTGTACATGTCTGAGCACACACTTTTTCATAGCTTGACATTCTTTGGTCCATCCAAACACTGCAAAGGGAATGCTGATCATTATAAACATGCCACCTTTACAGGCTGAAACTGCCAAATTCAGATTTTAGACCAGCAAGAAAATACACCAGGAGTAAATCAAACTCAGCATCCTAACATCTGATTTTGCAACTTCAGAATTTCCAGATTTTCAACAATTAAGAAAAACAAAAATCAATACAAAGGTTAAGTTTGAACAAAGGAACAAGACATGAGGAAAACTGGCTGCAATAAAAAGAGCATTTTTGTATCCAGTAACAGAAGTTTCAATATGCATGAATCCTTGAAATAAATTGCTATTAAATATATTTAACATCCAATTCCACAGACAAGACAAAATTTTTATTAAGGCAAATTGTGCTGGCATCTCAAATCTCTGACAAACCAAAAAAACAATGGGGTGAAAGTAAGATTTATGATCAGCGTGTGACTGTAATTAACACCTTCTGTCAAACATGGCTCAAAATCCCTTTTCTCTTTCAGCTATTTTTGACAAGTCAATTAACACCCTCATAAATAAATCTGCTCAATGAACTGATCTTCCACAGCTAGCATGGACACATGCTGGGTATCCCACTCATTTAGTTGTACACATCAGAACTTCCTGCACACTGCTTTACACTTCAGAACACCAACAACTCAATCTCTCTGCAGAACCCAGGACACATACTGATCTTATGGAAAAAATACAGCCCTTTACTGCAAGCACATACAAGAACTGTTCTTCACATGAGCATTTCATGTTCCTTTCTTCATATACTGGGAGAGGAACTGGCTTCTGACAAAGTGGATCAGCTTGGTCTCTGTGCAGAACATAGTAACGATGGTTGCAGCAAAGCACAGAGCGCCCATGCCGATGTGAATCAGCCTTGCCATCCAACCCTTATCGCAGCAGAAGAACACCTACAACAGAGGAAAGAAGCAATTGCAGGAAAAGCTAGTCAGCACAAGGTAGACTTACTGTCTCAATAAAAAAAAAAATCAGACCCAACACTTCTCTTGACTGTGCTAACATCAACCTTGAAGCTGAGCACGGTTTTGCCACATGCACTGATCCTCCAATAAATCACCTTTAGCAGACACAATATTTGCTTTCTTAAGAACTTCCTGTCAGCAAAAAATGAGCATTCAGTAGCTACCTGGTAAATGTGGACATTAGCTATTACCTGGCCTGCAGAAATATGTTAATTTAGGTATTAGGAAAACTCTGCTAGTGCTGTCACAAAAGTCTGTCACTTTGCAGCAACGCATTGGGCTATTTTCTAGGAAAACTGGAAATCTCCCATTCCAAAATACAAAGCTCTCCTTTCTAAGGCAGAATGGTCACATTTTTTGTACACTGCAATGCTACCATCTCCCTAATAATTAGTCTGTGCAATTACCATCTCTGACTGAATGTGATAAATGTGCTCTTTGCAATTACTGTTTCTGTTCTTGTTTCGGTTGCTTTTCCTCTACCGCTTTGTTATTACAGAATGTTTAATAACAGTTTGTGCTACTGCAAAACTTCAGTTATTAAGAACTAAGCACATAGATTTATCTACAGACAGCAGAAGCGTGTTACATTTTATTGTACTTGTCAGATACACCTTCTACAGGTGGCAGAGAGAACTTTGTATCAAAGGTAAAATGTCTTTATATTGTATCTTGCCTTGCCTGTAACGAAATCTTCCAGTCTATCCTCATAAGCATGAGGTATTTCTTTGCTAATGGTATTTCTCTGCCTGGGATCACAAAGGTCATTCAACATCATTTTCACAGTGAAAGCAAAATTCAAGAAAGATGCTTACCTCTGAGACACCAGTGATCACTCCACTTATGATATAAACGAGCACCAAAAATGGGGAGGGAAGCAAGCCCATCAGAGGTCTGCAAGTGCTTTCTTTGAAGTAATCATAGATATAGTGGATGCTGTGAGCTATTCGGATACCCATGTTAAAGCAGTTGGCAAGAATAAAGCCCACACTGCCATGCCAGTGAGTCAAGAAGTAAGAGATGCACAGAAATGTGAAAGACAAGGCCAGCATAACAAAATTGTACCTGGGAAGAGGGGGGAAAGAACCAGTTTATCAATGTGTACAGTTACACTACTGATTTATGAACTTTATCTTTGAAGAAATACCACAACTTATTTTCTAAAACAAGGAACTGAAATTCTCTTCCCATTTTCTAATGGAAAAAGATAAATTTGAGAACCAAGCTGTTAATTAAAAAAATTCACTGAAAGAATAGAAAATACATCAAACACATTAAATAAAGAAGTGAATTATGTGAAGGAAATTCTGGTTTACTAATCAGCTGTGTACTCATTTCATAAAGTCAAATTTAGTAACAGTGATTAGTCACATAAAAACTTGTGCACTTTTGCTATTTTATTTCAGGTATGCATTGAAGAAAATTTGTGCTCAACAAGATGACACTTTACAGTTTCTGCTCCAAACAGTGGCTCTGGAACAAATTCACACCTCAAAAAGGCCATGAAAGCAGCACTGCTAAGTCTAAAAAGATACTACTTAGACTGTGGAAAGCAAACCTCACTGAAAATAATTTGAAAAGCCTTGTTGAGGGACAGGCACTCCATAAGCAATAAAAGCTTTATGGAAAGCACTGGGAAGGCCACCAGGCTCCAAAGTCAATAACCAGGAGGAAGAGAATAAGGAAATAATCTGGGCTTGAAGGGTTCTAAGGAGATTGTCTAGTTCAACCTCCTACTGAAAGCAGATAAACCACTGAATTCAGACCCTCAACTGAGAGAATTCAGAAGACTACCTGATACACAGGACCTGTATATGAGAACTTCTAACAGCTGCAAAATTTTGCTGAGTTTTAACTGATGGCCTGTCTTAAAAACTGTAACTTCAAGCCTGTATCTACAGAAAACAAGACTTTTAAATTGCTTTCCCAGTTAGTGATGTACCAAAAGCTAATCTCAAAATCTACTCCTTAATTTCTGACCTTTTTACCCAAGCATTTACACTGTTGCTAAAGCTTCTACATCTAAGTCTAAGCAGATAGCTAAATGGTTTTCAGTGGAGCAAAGTATTTTTATGCTGGTTTCAAAGGCACCAATCTCTCTGTAAATTCAGTACAAATGAATTTTTAAGATTGATGTTTATTAACAAATACAAGCATGTAAAAACCTCAAGTAGGGCATGTTCGGTTGCCTATCTATTGCACCTGGCTCTGGAGACAAGGAACAGAGCTTGAAGCTTAAACACAGTCACTTCTTAAAGTGACTGCAGAAAGAAATTTGCTCTTTGGAAACAAAGCACTTCCAAGCACATCACCCCCCAGAACTGCTGTTTACACACTGAACTCCAAGCAGATTAATTACAAGAACATTCTGGGGACACTATTTCCTACCTGTCCACCTCTTCTTTACACATCAAAGCAAACGTAAAACATTCCGTTACTCCATTGACAGCAAGAAATAGGACATATAATGAGTAACATCGGAGGAGATTTGGACCTAAGAAACACATTAGAATAATAAGTAAATACTACTTCTTTTATAAAACCACATTGTTTTTACACTCATCGATACTAAGAGATAAAAGCTGTAATGTTATCACTGAAAATGGAAATGTGAATGCATTTCAACAAGTTTCCTGTCTGGGTATTTTGACAAGAAGACAAAAAAAAACAAATAAGACACCAAACACCCAAGAACAGCAGTTATGACAGTAACAGAAAAGATATCCATCCAAAAAAGGATTTTATTAAGAGGGATTTCCAAATTAAAAAATATTTATCATAACCCAAATCCTGCATTGTACAGAAATTGGTGGAAATTCGTCCCAGTCATTCTGAGCTAATAAAAGCAATACAAAGTGTGCTTTGAACATAACAGTATGAAAAACAGCAAAGCTGTTCAATACATTCAAAATTGTGTTAGATGGAGAAAGTTCTTCGTATTTTTAATGGGTCAAAAATAATTTATGCATGATTTAAAAATCACCCATTCAGACCTTCAACTTTTTCTTGTACTTCAGAAATTGTAACACTGGGGAAAAAAATCCTACGCTTTTTAACAGGTTAGCATGCATCCATGAATACTCCTTCTTCATGGCAGCAATGTAGTTTGTATTACTAAGACTCCTCCTGTTTCAAAGAACAACTGCCCAAACTGTGAATACTCTGGTTCCAATTTGTTGTATGGGTTTCTGGGGGGTCTGTCATTGTTGGTTTAAACAGCTGGGAGTTAGCAATTTTACATCATGGAGCAGTCAAATAATCCTTTGAAATGTTCTTTTATAACAGTATGAAACTGCAGGAAGGTAGAGCCCCAAACCTGATCCTACTTATTTGGAGCTCCTCAGTATATTTTAATGTGACTACATATTAAAGGGACTGCTACAAAGGCATGAGTTCTGGATTCAGACAAGCCAAGTCACCGATTTCAACAGGAGTTTTACAGACAAAAAAATCTTATTGACTCAAGAAATCGTAATAGCAGCAGTTTTTAAAAGTGCAGGGCTCTTCTGCCAGCTCTATAAATCCTTACCGGTTCCAGAACTGAGCATTGAACCTCCGTAAATATCCAGAGCCAGCTGAGAATAGGCATAGCCAAAAACCGTGATGGTAAGGCCAGTCAGAAGCACAAGTTTTAACAGTGATTCTAATACATTTGCAGCCATAGCAACATCGTCCTGAAAAAATTTGTCATCCGTTATATGGATCAGAATGAACATCACCAGTTACTTTCACACAGAAGATCTACTTCACAGGAAAAATTAAAACCAAACCAAACCTGAATAGTCTGCATTGTATATAAAGGTGTGAAACATACCCTTTGTTACTGAATTATCCATACATGTAGCCTTAACCGTATTTATTATTCTATTCTAGGTTTTACAGGTTACATATTTACACAAATATTAGCCTTTAACATGCGTGCTCAAGGAAACAGAACTTGCAGATGCTTAACAGTTAGTAAATGGCAAAGAGCAGCACAGCCCCTGCCCAAGGTCTGAGCCAGCAGAGGGTGGGATTTTCATTGCCACACGAGACTACAGGATTCGCCACACCAGAACAAGTAACTTGTCAGTTCTACTACATCATTACAAGAAGCATCCTTGTAGTCCTTGTAATTTCACTACATAGAAGAAAAACTCATCATAATCTTGCCAGTTACACATACCTGGTGCACTATGTATAAAAAATACGTATGTGTACACTTTTCTTAGCCCACCAATGCCCTGTAGCATGGAATTTGTTTTAGCTGCATGCTGATGTGCAAGAAACAAGATTCCTGCAAAAACTTGTCATAGCATCAAACAAAAGCCCAGGCTGACCTTTACAACTGATGAAGAATTTCACACCTAAAGCATACACAAAAAATATTCTGTGGAACAAAGCTCTTGTTCATTTAACCATTGATACCCCACATACTATTCAAAAGCTCAAGAAAAAGACAATTATTTTCTTTCCAAAACTGCACCCTCTGGAAGCATTACTGTTTAATACTGAACAGCTACTTATGTTTTCAAGTAAATATTTTCAGACAGCATTTATTTAATAGAAATAGCCTGCTTTCATGATTTAAAATAATTGCCTAAGTATATCTGGAAATGCAGGGTACAATAGGGTTTATATCACACCCTTTGGAGCAGCTGATGTTAACATCATTGAAGTACAAGGCAGTACTATGCCACTGCATACCTTAATTTCCATTTCATTACCATTTTACCTGTTTTCTTGGGTTTTTGGTCCAGCCTCACTCAACAGTTTTCAATTTTAACAGCCTTTACACCCAAATTTAAACATAGTTCTGTCAGTCACATTTCTGTGATGTAACTTACCAACAACAAAAATCGAGCACTTAACACGTAGCTAATCCGAAATTAAACATACCTTCTTCTGATCCTTTACATTCTTCCCTCTTTCTAGCACTTTGGCAAAAAAGACATAAAAACTCTCCTCAATAGGCAAAAAGATAAACCTGGCCACCAGTGAACCGAGATTATTCACGATATCATAGACACCTTTGAAAAAACAAACAAAAAAAACAATAGAGCAGCAACCTGTGAGATTTTCAGACACATTTTAATTCCAAGTCTTTAACAGCAACATGAATTCTAATTTACCATTTCCACAGAACAAAGAGAAAATGAGTGGAATTTTGCACAGCAGTAAAGCAGTGTTCCCTAAAAATTCTGTCACAGCAACCACAGCTCAAAATTACCAGGTTTGCTCAGAGATGGTGAAGCTGGGACAAAAGCATCAGCCACAGAAATGTGAATCTACTAACAGCATCAAGCCACATTTCAAATTCTTACTCTAGAGGAAGTTAAAAGAACTTGATGAATTTCACTGAATGAGAACAGAAACGCAAGGATTTACTGATACAGGAGAAGAGAAAGGTATCTAGTTTTAGGGTGAGGTTCCTTCGGTTTACTTTCACTCCAGTGGAAGAGCAAGCCTGCATGACATTTTCCCAGCACTTCCATCCTCAGCAAAACATCACTACAAACCTGCTAAGACATCTACGTGTGTGCGGATACACACACAATCCAGAGCATACAAAGTCAGGCATACGGGTAAGTGCTTCACATATTCACAGCAAAATAACAGAATATGGTTCTGCCTGATTTCTGACAGGACTTGGACCAATGCTGCTCAACATTCTGAGAGCACAGGCACTTTGTACTCATTGCTCTTTTAAAGCCCCTTCAAGTAAGAGGCAGCTCAATTGCTCTGCAGGTGAGGAGAATCAGAAGCAGCCACAGTTACTGGTGGCAAGCACGTCTACTCAGTATTTACAAGGGAACATACTACTGCCAGCAACTGAAAGTAATTTGAACTAGCCAAGCAACTTCTAACTGTGGGCCAGCAACTACAGCTTGTTTTTCTTCCCTGAGCTGCAAAGACTTGAACTGCTGCCAAATCAGTCATTTGAATGGCTACTGCCATACATTACTCTGTAGCCACACTGATTTCCTTTACAGAACATAATTCAATTTTGAGAGGCGATGCATTCTTGCTGTAACAGCTAAGACAGATTCAAGTGGAAGACAGAAAACAGGAAAATAGATTTACAAAAACCAAAGACAGACAACTATAACACAATCAGATACTCATGAAGTTGGGGGGGGGGGGGATTATATGGTTTTGGTGGTGGTGTTTCCAGGGAGTTTTGAGGTTGGTTTTTCTTTTGGGGTTTGTTGGTTTTCTTTTGGGCTCTTTTTTTTTAAGAAAAAAGATACACGGTGTCACACATCCAATTGGAAAGTTCTGGATTTAAACTGTATTTTCATTTTGGAACAGGATCTTAAATTCTTTTCTATGCCTGTATCAATCATTCTCTGACATGGATCTCAACATCACAAAGGCTTTGAAATTGTCCCAGATTTTCAAGTTATCTTCAAATACTTTCAGTCATTTTCAGAACCACCTGAAGAGCAGGGACTAAGAAAGCTATGTCACTATTCCACAATGCCATCACACTTACCCTGATCTCCAAAATTTAACACATTCAAAAAAGTCATCACATACCGTTCACCTGCAAGTTCAAAACAAAGAACTTAAGTATTGGGAAACATTTAGGGACTTGTTCTTGTTCTGGCACTTCCAATAGTAAGTATTCAAGAGACAAAGTCTAACAGGACAGCACCTACTTCAGAAAATCCTCAAAAACTTCATTCAGGTTGGTAACATCGGGCAACGACCTCTGAAAGTTACATGCCCACTCCCACTGCTCCCCCCCCAGCTTTCTCAAGCTTTATATCACTTTGATACTGTTCACTAGCCCTTCTCCACTGCCAACTATAGATCAAGCCTCACCCTCTGTCAAAATCTGTTTCAAGAAGGACTGTTTGAAGAAACTCCAAGTCAACCGTGCTTCCTTCCAGTTAACAAAGGTCTGCAAAAGAAGTACTGAAATCAAACAGGTGCTGAAATGAAAAAGTACCGAAACATGATTGAAACTAGAGTGAAACAGAAAACAGAAAGCCAGTACAACACTGGAGGCTAACTCTGACTGTACTGAGGGGGAAAAATCCACAATGTCAGTTGCTAACAATTGATCTAAGATATTGCTAAATTCAAGCACCAACATCACTCTGCTTCACAAACACTTTGTCCCTTGCTGGAACTCACTGCTCTGCAGATAAACTACCCAAACATGTTTTCTGAAGAAAATACCAATCAAAGTTGAGAGACAGGAAAAAAAACCAAACCCACATGCATGCCAATACAACTTTCACCTTCATCATATATATCATTTATTGCTCTTCAAACTGTCCCTACAAGTCCTGCAATCAAGAAGCCCCTTTCTCTTTCCAATCTGTAAATCTTTTTCAAACGTCATCTTCCATTCCTTTGCATCGTTTTCTTTTCAGAGATATCTGAGTATCTGTAGGATGCTGTGTAACACCATGGGTTTTTTGTGGAAAAGTCAATGTGCCAAACCCCATGGTAAACTGATTCTGGTTTCCACCCTGCCTCTGATCCAGTGTGATACCTGGTCATTCTCCCACACGCTGATCGGTTTTTATCTCCACTTAATGGTTCATGCAAAGCTACTAAAAGAGAAGTCAGCCACAAGCCCATAAGCACAAAGAGGTGAAGTTTGCTAACTTTTTCTGACAAGAATTTTACTAATACAAACTATAAACAGAATTATGTTTTGGTTTGGTTTTTTTTCTTTCTTAATCAGTCTTATCTTCTACAGTGCAGGGATATCCCCCAAATCACTCAACTCCACCATCTCCAACTAATTTTCAAAGCTCTCTCAAGACAGACTTCAAACTGTGCAACCTACCTCATCTTCCACCATATTGGGCAATAAAGCTTTCATTCTAGCAACTGGAAATGACTTCTTTGTTGCTTCAGGAGATCCCAAAAACATCACAAAATAAATAACGTAGCACAGTACCAGCACACTGGTATATAAAAGCTGGAAAGACAGGGGAGGAAAGAAGAAAGATTAATATAAAATTAACTTACAAATGTAGAATTACAGGCTAGAATTACATATTAAGAGTTCTGAATTCAGTGAGAAAAAAAAAAAGTATTAAGTAGTCCTTATTCCTGTCAACATCAAATTACATATAGACTTAAATTTAACTCCTCAAGAATGTTGTTGATCTTTGTTTCTTTTTTTTTCTTAATTTATAGGTTACTGTAGTCCTTTAATAACTTCCATGTTCTATTCAGCATTTTTAGAATGATTATTTAAAGTCCAATTCAAAGCAATTATTAACTCAGTCAAAAAATCAAGTGGATAGAGTAGCTTCTGTCTACATCTCTTACTTCATAGAATCACAGCATCTTTTAGGTTAGAATGGACCTTGAAGATTACTGAGTCCAACCATTAACCCAACTCTGAAAACCAAAACACAGGAAACTTACCTGAGCCAAGGAAAAAATGTAGAGGCCCCATTGAGGATAAAGGACTACTAAAATAACCGTCAAAATGCATTTTGACACTACTGAAAGGCTTTCAGCAATTACCTTTAAGAAAGAAAAGAGAGAAGGGTTATTTTCTGCCAAGTTAACCACACACACAAACTTAAATTACATCAGTTTCACACACAGAAATTATGCAGGAATACGTAGGAAGACTTTCAAAGTCAGCATCACTTTGTCACAGTTTCTGCTGAGTCGACCATCTGAGATTGCAATTCTGCGTAAATTTTCTTTTCTTGCATTTCACAATTCCTCCATTGCAGTTTCCCAGTCCTTTGTATGGGACATAGGGCAGAAAATTTTGCTTGAGACAAACATGTTCTCAATTGTTGTATTTCACAATTTCATATCAACAATCAATTGAAATGTGAAATCATGGAAGATGCATGCCTCTCCCTCGGATTAAAACTCATAATTAAGTATTTGATGATCACTAAGGTGATAGTTTCTAAATAAATCAACTTCCTTGCTTTAACATCTACAAATTTATACCTGTTACAACTGTTACACAGTACTAAACAGTATGCACAGGATTTTTTTTTTCATATGCTTGAATACATGAAGATCTAGCTCAGCAATCCCTTCTTTTCAATACAGAAAGATAATTACAAACACACACGTATACCCCACGTACTTTACTAACCTTAAGTCTCACAAACAAATGAGCTTGTGCTAAAACCCAGAATGGCTCTCCCAGAAGTTCAATAATTGCAGAAAGACCAAATGCTACTACACCAGCCTGATAATGAGGAACCACAGAAGGATCAGGTACTTCGAGCAAGTGTAGCCAGACTAAGCCCAAGCAAACCGACCAAAAAACACCAAGAGGGACTCTAAAAAGTTAACATAAAAACAAATCAATAGAAATGTTACTTTAGCAGGAAAAATAAAGAAAAAAGAAAATTAGATTACATTGTCCACATATGGCCATCATTTTTTTAAAAGGCCCAGAGGAATAAATTTCCATTGTTACTATACCAAGAACATCTTTTTTTCCTGTGTGTTACAAACATCTTTAAGGCACTGTTTGCAAGACACAGAAAATACTTTTCTGACTTGTCTCTTTTCTACTCAAGAGCCTAACATAAGGTCACCTATCTGCATTTCTCATTCCCTAGGACCAAACAATTCTGATCCCTTATCAGCCTGCAAAACCCTGCATTTTTGTGGTCTCTGGTTACCAGGGGTTTGGCAGACAAGCTTTCTTGGATCTTGCTGTAACAAATAAAGGTGCCACCATTCCAACTGCTTGCAACACTCTTCCAGAAATCACTGGTTCTCCAGAAAGTGACAGCAGCATGATAAGAAAATGCACGCCTGCACCTCAGGAATGCAAGTCCACCATGATCGACTGTAGCTCAGATCCACTTCCACTAGTGAGTGTAGCTGAAAAGCCAAGCTAGGCACAGGAGTGCACGCATGTACCAGCTTCCGTTGACACTGCTTCAGGAAGCTTTGTTGACAAAGCTTCTGGCAGAGTGCAGGATGTTTGACATCACTGAGGCAGGATCTATTTGACCTTCCCATTATCAGATCCCTGAAGTATTTGACATCAAGCTCCTAAGAGGTATTTCAGATCCTTCAAGAAAGTTAAATCTCCATTTTAAGTTATGCTTCTCTACAAGGAAAAGTTTAAAAAGGTGCACACAGGCATTAGCTCCACTATGTAATACCCACCTGAAAGGCTGTCAAACGTCAAGAAACTGATTATAATGCAACTGAGAGAACAGATCCAACACACTGAAAACATCAGTATTAAACCATCCCTGAAAGCGACACTGATGTTGCCCTGCCATTAAACTGTACCAGTGCTCAACAGTATCTCCAGGGTAAGTGACAGAACAGCTCCTGGTAACAGCTTGGGTGATGCACCTTCCCATGTGCTCCAAAAGAGATTAAGTACATAAATGCTAAATCTACAGACTTTACCAGCTTCCTGCATCGGTCCTGAAACATGACTGAGGCTACCAGACACTCAGTGCTGAAGTAATCACCTCAGTAAAGAAATACTTGCTCTCGATTTTGTGAGCTTTCAGACAAGAACTAAATTCCAAAGTAGCAAATTTTTAAAGGTATCTTACGTCAGCCACAACAGGTTAATTGTTTTGGTCCAGTTTCTCTTTGTACTTGCACTCAGACAAGCTCTGCGAAACGCCTCCCTTGCCAGGAAGACAACCGTTGAATACAGCAAAGTGAGCCTAATGGAGGGGAGAGAGAAAAACAAGGAGAGAAAACGATTTCTTTACATACTGCTTCTGACATCCTCTACTGCTTCTGACATCCTCCATGCAGCAACATCACTGTTTGCACAGGCCTGCCTAACAAACAAATGGGTGTGCAAGAGAACATGGTGACATAAATTATCACCATACCATAAAAAAATAAGGAGGGGAAGTAGTTACGCCGCTTTTCCTCATCAAGTTAATGATTTAACATGGAAAACAGGCCAGCAGTGCCTGTGTTTGAGGTGAAAAAATAAGTCGGGAGGCAGTCAACGATCTAACAGTGCAAAACACCCAACGGTAAATTAAACAGCGCTGTGCAAATCATTGTAAGCCACCCTGCCCAGGCGGCCCTGCACGAACGCTGTCCGAGGCCCCCCCTCGCTGCCTGGGAAGCCGCCCGGTGCGGTGGGCATGGGGGGGACACAGGCCCCCCGCTCACCTCACGTTGACCACACCGATCAGCTCCCTGGAGAGGTAGCGCAGAGTGAAGGCGTTGAGCGCGAACGTGACCGCCCGGAACAGCACCTGTGCAGAAAACCACACGGGAAACACCTGAGGGCAGAGCGGGACCGAGGCGGCCGCTGCCTCGCACCCACCAGGAGGAGGAGGAGGAAGAGGAACGTGCCCCCGATCCCTCCCGCACCTGCAGCAGCGCGCTGGAGGATGCCAGCCGCGTGGTCTGCCCGAGCACCTCCTGCGAGCCCATCGGTCCCGCCCGCATCAAACGGCGACGCCGTCGCTCCGCGAACGCGTCAGGGCGGCCGGGACCGCCCCAAGTCCGGGCGGAAAACGGGCACCGGGCGGGGAATGCGTCCTCAACCCGGCTCCTGCCGGGGTAACCGCGGGAGCGCGCCCGCTGCAGTAACGCTTCCGGTAAGAACGGTGCTCAGGTGCTGCTCCGGGCTGCTCAGGTGCTGCTCCGCACGGGGGTACTCCGCTGAAAGCAGCCGCAATCTGCACAGCGGCTAATGAGAAGGGACACCGCATTCATGGCACTGCCTGACAAACGCTGTTTTCCGGAGGTTCTGAAAAAGGAACGTCCATGCGAGTTCCACTAATTCCTTCCTCAACTGAGGACAAGCCCACCAGTCTTAGAATCATAGAATAGTTAGGGTTGGAACGGACCTTAACATCATCTAGCGCCAACGCCCCTGCCATGGGCAGGGACACAAGTTTTACGGGTCGGCTCGGCAAGACACGGGGTAAAACAAGGAACCGGGACACCGAGGAGCTGCAGTCCAGGGATGCAGCCGGGACCGTGCCCCCTTCCCATCCCTCCCGCCGGAGGCACTCGTGCTCCCCGCTGCCGCTCAGTGTCCCGGTCTCCAAGGGCAAGAGGAGCCCATGCCCTGGCTGCTGGGTACCAGCACCCAGCAGAGCCCGGCGCTCCTCTGAGCAACTCCCGGAACCATCGCAGCAGCATTCCTGGGAAAGGATTTTGTATTTAGGCTTAGCCGTCTTGAGCCCACTTTAGCACAGCCCAGCCTCCTTTAGCCCAGTTCACATCTGTCCAGACCACTTTAGCACAGTTAAGCCCAATTTAGCCCACTCTAGTTTAGCCCAACGCAGCCCAGCCCAGTACACCTCAGCCCAGTTTAGCCCTTCCCGGCCCAACGTAGCACACTTTAGACCACCTCAGTCCAGCCCAGTTTAGACCAGTCCAGCCTATCCCAGCCAAATTCAGCCCAATCCAGCCCAGCCCAGCCCAGAGAAGTTTAGCCCAATTAGGCCCAGTTTAGCACAGTGCAGCTGGGTTTAGCTCAGCCCAGCTCAGCCAAGCTCTGTTTAGCCAATTCAAGCCCAGTTCAGCCCAGCCCAGCAAAATTTAGTCCAATTCAGCCCAGTCCAGGCCCATTTAGACAAGTTCAGATCTGTTCAGCCCAGTTCAGCCCACTTTAGGCAACTTTAGCCCAGTTTGGCCCAGATAAGACCAGTTCAGCCCACTCCAGGCAAGTTGAGCCCAGTTTAGCTCCGTTCGGCCCAGTTCAGCCCACTTTGGCCCAATTCAGCCAAGTGGGCTAAACTGGGCTAAACAGTGTTGAACTGGGCTGGAGAGGGACGAACTGGTCTCATCTAGGCTAAACTGGGCTGTAGTGGGCTGAACTGGGCCAAACTGGGCTGGACAGATCTGAACTTGTCTAAATGACCTGGACTGGGCAGAACTGGGTTGAAGTGAGCTGGGCTTTGCTTGGGTGGGCTCAAGTGGGCTGGACTGGGCTGAAGTGGGGTAAATTGGGGTAAAGTGATCTAAACGGGGCTGAATTAGGCTAAACTGGTCTGAACTGGGCTAAACTTTGCTGAATGGGCTACACTTGTCTGGGCTAAAATGGGCTGGGCTAAAATGAGCTGGGTAGGTCTGGGAAGTTCTAAACTTGGCTGGGCTGAGATGGACTGGCCTGGGCTGGGCTAAAATGAGATGGATTGGTCTGGGAAGTTCTAAACTGGGCTGAAGTTGCCAAACTGGGCAGAACTGGCCTGGAGTTGGCTGAACTGGGCTGGAGAGGGCCAGGCTGGGCTGAAGCGGGCTAAACTGGGCCAAACTGGACTATAGTGGGCTGAACTGGGCTGGACAGATCTGAACTTGTCTAAATGGGCCTGGACTGGGCTGGATAGGATTAAAGTTTGCTTGGCTGGGCTTCACTGGGCTGAACTGGACCAAACTGGGCGGAGTGGGCTGAACTGGGACAAACTTGGCTGGACTGGTCTGAATTGGGCCAAACTAGGTTTAACTGGGCTAAAGGAGGCTGGGCTGGGCTATATTGGGCTGGAAAAAGCTAAACTGTGCTGAATTGGCTAAATTTGTCTGGGCTAAGACGGACTTGGCTGGGCTGGGCTAAAATGAGCTACGTTGGTCAAGGAAGGGCTAAACTGGGCTGGAGTTGGCTGAACTGGGTCAAACTAGTCTGAATTGGGCTAAACTGGGCTAAAGGAGGCTGGGCTGTGCTATACTGGGCTGGACAAGGGTAAACTGTGCTGAACTGGGCTAGATGGAACTGGGATGGGCTGAACTTGGCTAAACCAGGTTAAACAGGGTGGAAAGGCTCTGAAGAGGGCTAAAGTGGTCTGAACTGGGTTAAACTGAGCTGGGCTTTGCTTGAGTGGGCTAAAGTGGGCTGCACTGGTCTGAACTGGGATAAACTGTGTTAAAGTGGTCGAAATGGGGCTGAGGTAGGCTAAAGTGGTCTGAACTGGGCTAAACAGTGCTGAATTGTCTAAACTTATCTGGACTAAGATGGACTGGGCTGGGCTGGGGTAAAATGAGCTGGGTTGGTCTGGGAAATGCTAAACCAGGCTGAAGTGGGCCAAACTGGGTTAAACTGGTCCAAACTGGGCTGAACCGGGCTGGAGAGAGCTGAACTGGGCCAAACTGGGCTGGAGTGGGCCAATCTGGGCTGGAGTGGGCTAAAGTGGGCTGAACAGGGCTGGACAGATCTGAACTTGTCTAAATGGGCCCAGACCAGGCTGAATAGGACTAAAGTTTGCTGGGCTGGGCTGAAGTGAGCTGAACTATACCATACTGGGCTGGACTGTTCTGAATTGGGTCAAACTGGGCTTAACTGGGCTAAAGGAGGCTGGGCTGTACTATACTGGGCTGGACAAGGCTAAACTGTGCTGAACCAAGGTAGATCGAGCTGGGCTGGACTGAACTTGTCCAAACTAGGCTAAACAGGGTTGAAATGCTCTGAAGAGGGCTAAAGTGGTCTGAACTGGGTTGAACTGAGCTGGGCTTTGCTTGGGTGGACTAAAGTGGGCTGGACTGGTCTGAAGTGGGGTAAACTGGGTTAAAGTGGCCTAAACGTGGCTGAACTATGCTAAACTGGTCTAAATGGGGCTAAACTGTGCTGAATTGGCTAAACTTGGCTGAGCTAAAATGAGCTGGGTTGTCCTGGGAAGGGCTAAACTGGGCTGAAGTGGTCTAAACTGGGTTCAACAGGACTAAGCTGTGCTGGAGTGGTCTGAATTGGGCTAAACGCTGCTGAACTGTGCTAAATTGGTCTGGAGAGGTCTGAATTGGGCTAAAGTGGGCTGGGCTGTTCTTGGCTGGGCTTAGTTGAGCTGGACTGGGGTAAAGTGGGCTGGACAGGTCTGAACTGGGCTAAAATGCAATGGATTGAGCTAAACCATTCTTAGCTGGGCTTAATTGCACTGGAGTGGTTTAAACTGGTCTGAACTGGTCTGAATTGGGCCAATCTAGGCTTCACGGGGCTAAAGGAGGCTGAGCTGGGCTATACTGGGCTAAACTGGGCTGGAGAAGGCTAAACTGGGCTGAAGTGGGCTAAATCGGGCTGGGCTGGGTTGGGCTTGGCTGAACATGGCTAAACTGGGTTGGTCTGAAGAGGGCTAAAGTGGTCGAACTGGGTTAAACTACATGTAATGCTACAGTTGAACTAAACCATCACATCTAACAGCTCTTCACAAGACCAGGCAGAGTATCTGAGCCCTACTTGATTAGGATCTTAAGAGAAGCTGGGTAACCAACCAAAATTCTTCAAGCTCATGCAGAGAACCCATCCCAACATCAATTTTGTCCTCTACATGACACCCCCCCCCCCCTCCTCCTTTGAGGCACCACTTACTTGTTTCTGTGTTCAAAGTGTTTCAGATTTCTTCCTCTGGTCATTTTTCCTGATAACACTATTTAAGGAATCTGGAAGTGGTGTATAGATGTGGTTTATATGGCAGAGGACTGTATCTGTAAAAACCTAACAAAAAGAGATTATTATCCCATTGTTAATATGGGGAGATGGGGACAGAAAGAAAAAAAAGACTCATCTGTGTCTGGCAACAGCAGAGACAAGATCACAGATGTGAGGCTGCAGAAAGCTATTCTAGCTAGAGAGGATGAAACATTGTCACCTCCCCTTTCTTACAGGCAGTTTTCCAGTTCTCAATTGGAAAAGGCAATTAAAAACGTCCTAACTCAGACTTTGGGCTTTTCTTAGTGGCAGTACTGGTGACAGCAGCCATCAAAAGGCTTTTAGTATGTTATAGCTTGTGCTGATGTTAATAGGTGCACTTGAACTCTGGGGATTAAAACACATCACCTATTACCAGATAAGATGAATAGGAAAACAAAAATGCAGGAGCATAAAGCATACAGCATCTACCAACACTCCAGTGAGGATTCATATTATTCACTCTACACACATACAAATATTTTCATTACAAAAGAAGGGAACTTCAATGAATGAAACAGGAAAAACCAGTGTGCTAACTGACCTTTCCAAGCATCTGCCATGGCCAATAGTAAATGATAGCTAGTGATGTTTTGTTAGACACTTTGGCTTGTCACCTCGTAAAGCTGAAACAGAAACAGCTGCAAAGCATGGGGAGGTGGAAAAAGTAGAGAAAAAACTGTAACTTCAACTGGTTTTAATAGGAACCAGCTTCGCCACTTCCACCCTTCTGGCATTAACGCCTCTAAGCCACTAGATGGCAAACCTCCCGTACGAAGACGGGCTGAAAACGTTGCGGCTGCTCAGCCCGGAGAAGAGAAACTGCGTGGAGACCTTACAGCAGCCTCCCAGTATCTGAAGGGGGGGCCTACAATGATGTTGGAGAAGGACTCTTCATCAGGGACTGTAGCGATAGGACAAGGAGGAACGGGTTTAAGCTTAAATAAGGGAAGTTCAGGTTAGATACAAGGAAGCAACTCTTTACTGTGAGGGTGCCGAGGCACTGGAACAGGCTGTCCAAAGAAGTGGGGAATGCTCCATCCCTGGCAGCGTTCCTGCCCATGGCAGGGAGGTTGGAACTAGATGGTCTTAAGATCCTTTCCAACCCAAACTATTCTATGATAATCCTAAATAAGAAGTTATCTTGTGTGTTGCTTCTTTACTTTCTAAAATATTAAATGCCTTCCTTTATTGTTCATGTCAGATATATGCAACTTGAACTATCATAATGACAAGTACTGTTTCTGGGGGGTAGCACATCTCAAATTCTAACCTATAAACCTGAATTACAAACGTGTTAATGAGAAGGTACTAAGGCAAAACATGTACATATTTTCTCCTTCCTATGCATTCTGTAAAATACTTCACAGTTTGTATTTGCTCCTGCAGGTCTGGTCTCGACTAATGCATTACTTGTGAAAATACAGAAGGGTTTTGGGAACATAATAGCCATAAAAAAGATACAGAAACAGATTTTGCAGCCATGAGCACTCACACTTGAAAAATCTCTACTAGCTAGTTCTTGGTATCTCTGCACTACAAAATCATGCCATGAGCTCCAGCCTACTTCCCCTGAGGGAAAACGTATTCAAAAGATATGGAGTTGCAGAAAGCCCACAAAAGAGACTTGTACTTGCTATGCAAACACATATGTTCACAAACACTATTTGTTTTAATAGACAGAAATAAGGCTCTGTTCATTAAAACAGTTTAGAGCTGCTGAATACTCATGAGAAATGATCCTCTTGTATTTTAAAATTCAATAAGAAGTGTTATTAAACTTGCTTTGACCTCAGCATGACACATTTCTGCATGAAATTGCCTTAAGACTTTTAAAATCAACAGTGACAATAACTCAGTGAAGATGGTAAAACACACACAGCGGAAGGACTCAGCTGGCAAGAGCTGGATTCTGAGAAGCACTGAATACAAGACATTCCTGTAAAATATTCCAGTTTCCTTTTCTTGAGTCACTTGGAGACTTACTTTTGAAGTAGATGGAGACATGCAAGAGTTATACTTAACAACCAAGAGGATCTCTGACACAAAATGGAGTGGTTTTGCTACTTTAAGTAATTCAGCACCTATAAGGAAAAGAATCACCTAATGGAATGCTTTAAAATGGTGGGAATATAGGATTTGTGAGTCACCATATAGTGCTTTCAAATTACATTTGTGCAACATTATATAATATTGTGCATGATCATGTCTTGAACAGAATTAATTATGAATCAGTATCTCTTCATGTCATTCATTTCCATCTCCCCTGAGAGCTGACTTCCATTCTTCATTGAAATAATCCCTCTGAGCAAGACAGTCATTAGTCTGCCAAATTGATAGAATAAAATATTCCCCCCTTTATGGGACCTCCTTTAGCACTCATGACAGCTAAGTGAAATACATCTTTTGGATTCCTCTTATTCCTTAGGGCCAAGCAAGGAATCTCTCTAATAAAAGAGTCCCAGCATATGTTTACCCATTCAGTTTCAGAATCTCCCCCACTATCCTTCAACAGCTGAACTTCACTTTCAGTACAAAGCCCTGAAATCCAATTAGAAAAAAACTCACTAGCAATACAGGAATACCACTGTCCAGCAGACTTCTCTCAACTACAGATAAGGCAAAAGGAGAGCTCCAAAAAGGCCTATTTATCTTTCAGTGGGAGGTCACCTAAAAGCAACTTTTCAATATAGGGGGATAATACTGAGAGTCAAAATGATCTCTGCCTCTAATCCAGATGTCCATACAGTCAAGCTACTGAGCCACCATTGGAACTGAAAACATGACTTGACCACAAGTCTCTCTGTTCAGACCAAAGTACAATTATCGTCTCCTCAAAGAGGTCCAAGGTTATCAGACAACTCACCTTGACAAGTCCTACTGTTCTCAGCTCAGTAGGAACAAGACTCTACTCTCCAGGTTTAGCTTCACTGCCATCCTAGCTGGATGGAACAAACAAACATAGGATGGCTTAGGCCTAAGGACACCACCTGTCCCCAGACACCACAGTTCTGGTGATGGACAAATAGAAAAAGATAAGTGAGATTAGTCATCACATGAGATACCTTTCTGCAAGTCTTCAAACACAAGATATTGTGCCATGCTAACAACATTAGGGGATTGCCTCAACCTTGTCCCTTAAGATTGTAAAGTAAAACTCACCTCTTGCTTCTCTGCTAAATAAGCTGTTGTTTTATTTCTTCTTAAAGACAAACCTTTTTCCAGCTTTGCCAATCAGTCTGTGCTTGTGTGCTGAGCAGCCAAGTAGAAAAAAATACTTCCCTTTGTTCAGCCAAGTTGCAACTGTATCACAGTTGAACCATGATGGGTCAACACATACCTGTAACTTGAAAATAAAGAGAAATTAACATCCACTCTCACTATGATTTGTTTGAGCAGGTCATTGTTTGGTTTTGGGTTTCTTTTAAGCAACAGGTATATTGAGCTAAATTCACAATTGGAATAAGCTACCTAAATATACCAGCAGCAACCAGCTATTGCCTCAAGCATTCTTGCTTCTTGCCTCCCTGTGCAGATGCATGCTTTAGCTGCAGAGGGTAAGAATTTGCCTACTACAACAGAAGATGCTGTCATCCATTACTGCATTCCTGACCACATCTCCATCCTGGTGAAAAGAATGGTTGCAGTACTGCCAAGACACTTGGGGATAAATTATTAGGCAGCTTCCTCAAATACAGGAGGTATGGCTTTAACTCTGTGAGGGAGAAAGGTGCTCTAGACACATTCAGTGGGCTCTGCTTCCTCCGAGGACCACATGAGCAGCTTGACGCTGGTATCTTTATATTTGCTATACTTCCTATGTTCCTAAGAATTTATGTTATGAAAAGAGCTGTATATCCTACTAGATATTTCATTTTACCAAAAAGTCAGCATCTCTACCATGAGTCATGGTTTGGCTTCTTGCCCAGTTGAAAGATGTTGAAAACAGTCAACTCTATAGCCCATAAAAGAGCAAACGTAACCCAATCAAAAACCAAAAGTAAGCCTTCCCAGGTTTATATAAGATGAAAATTCTTGAGAAAATCTTTTGCCCTTACCATTACTATTACCTTTATTTGCTGCTCTGCAGCTTCCAGGTCATGGCTCACAGCACAGTTCTTCCATCAGCAGATTTCAAAAGCACTGTGCACTCCACTATGCATTTTTTACATCTCCAATCCCCACGTCCATCCTGCCTAAACTTAAATTGAAAATTCTTTTCTTAGAAACCAATAATACCAGAGGCTCATTGAAAGAGATGTCACAGGAGTCATTTAAGGTTTTCATGTATGGCAGAATACTCCCACTCACATCCTGAAGAATGTGGGGAGGTTCAAACAAAAGGATCTAACCACATGTCAGACTAAACCAGCAATGCATATCATCTCCTACCCACACCATGCTTCTAAAGCTTCATGTCTGTTATGAAAGAAGTCTCTTTCCATCTGCAAGCAACACTCACTATTTCATGTTACCGGTCTTGCTGAGAGTTCAGTAGAAAAAGCAAGAAATTGTTAGTGGCAAAGCATTAGTGGCAAACTAACTCTTGAAATCCTTTTCGTCACAGAGAGCACCTTGCAGTGTTCCTATAGAAACATTCAGGAATACGTGCTCCTCTTGACTATTCCATTGACACTGTATCCTCAGACTCTGACTTCAATCAATTCATCCTCTCTCAGATAGTAAATTGTACTGGGTTTCGTTCTGCAGTATTGTTGACAATGTTTTCGAGGCTTACTGCAGCCTGGGAAAGTGTTAGGCAGGAAACTATGTGAGAAGTTAACCATATTTTGTTACTGTCATTCCGGCAGTTTTCCAGATCTTTATGTCACTAATTGCATGTGATTACTGACAAAAAGAAGAGAGCTCTTCTAACCATGATACTAAACAATGCCATTAATTCCATTCTACACACACAGAATACGTAATTTGCAACAAATCAGGCCCAAACTCTGAGGTGCCTTGGTAATCCATAATGACAGAAAGCGAACAATCCTTTTTCATTATGTACTCATGTATTTTTCATCATCTATTGGAATTAGCTCTTGTCCTTGCATATTCATTTTTCCAACATCCTTTTAAGTTATTCAAAAGGACATTTACATTAGCAGGATGAAACCTGTGGAATCTGACTTAAAGAAATGGGCAGTTTTAAAAGAACTTTGTATTTTTACATCCCCCCGCCCAGCAAGGACTCTCTGCTTTTTAGAGACCATCATCAGTTGGACTCCCCATTGCAGGCTTCTATAATTGCTTCTCTGTCCGAATAAAACTTTGCTTTAAAGTGCCATTTACTGGTTTTCTTCCTTAACATGACATAACACTTTCTTTCCTGTACCAACGGAGTGGAGCAGTTTGGGGGTGTTACAGGCCACTAAAACAGAAATCTGCATTGGTGGAATTCCTTCCGAATAGTTATAAGTGAATTTGTCAGTGGCAAACTCTGCTGAAGTGGTGAACACTTTTCAAAACCTCTGATTTTGTTCTAAGCATATTACTAAAATCACAGGTTGTTTCCTGCTTTTTGTGTAGCTAACAAATACATGAAGGTTCATGGCAGGGAGGAATCAGAATCACATCTCTTGCTTAGTCACAATCCAGACTTACCTTCAGTCACTTTTCATTTTTTGAGACACAATCTTGCATCATCAAAATCTTGCTCCATCATTAATTTAAAGGCAATTCCTTTTGATCACCTTAATAAAGTAGAAGCATATAAGGAGGTTGCAGCTGGGTAATGCACTGGAAGACACAAAAGCTCAAAATTCAGCTAAGAAAACAGCAAGCTCGCTCTTTGCTAATACCATCATCTCTGCTTTTGTCCTACAAATGCTAACATAGTAAGAACCACAGCTGTGCAAAAACCAAGCTCTCTGTTAATAGTGGGACACAGGCTGCTTGGGCATGGCTGCTCTTCCGCTGGTAAAGTGCTCTTTGCTATATGCTTCTTGTTTCAAAACTGAAAAGGAGATACTTCCCAACATGCAGTAAAACAAAAGAAGGAGAATAAAGTAACTTCAAAAGTGACTGTGGAAGGGACAACAGAAGAATGCTCAATACTTCAAGACCTTTCTTTCTCCTTTTGCAATACAATGAAAACAAATGAGACTTACAGCATCACTCATTTTTAAGACTGATGATTCTATATTTAGAAAAGAAGTCAGACACTGGATTTCACAACCATATGTGGAAAACATTAAAGGGAAAACTGGATGGGATTGCCAAGGCACTATGGGGCCAAGAATTGCTATTTTTTTTAAACCCACCCTGAAACACCAGTGTAAGGTGGGAATGTTTCACACAGCTCTCCTCTGTAACTGTCACTAACAATATGCAAAACCTGGCAGCACTGCGCTGCTCCAGAGGCTGAATTATGCTGGCAGCACCAGAACTAGATGGACAATTTTGGGACAGTTTCCAGTGTAACTGCCCAATCTCTGCCGGTTTGTGATGAAATAGGAAGTTTCAGTAAAAATTCCAGTGCAATTTTTGAGATGAATAGACAGTAGGTGGAAGAGCAAGGCTTCCCAGCCTTCCCTTGGAAGTGCATGAGAGGATTTTTACCATCAATAAGCAGTGCATGTCAGCCAGAATACTGCTGTAAACAGTAGAAAATTTGTGACTATATTGTTAACGTAGATAAAAATGAATGGCCTGAACATGCATTGTTACCACTTTCTTCTGAATATGTGCAGCAAGAATAGCAAAAAAAGTCTTGCTAAGAGCCCTCAAAATATTACTTATTAGTTCCTTCCTTTTTGAGGGAAGATTACACCCAGTAAAAATTTGTCCAACTTAAAAAGCCAAACATTCTTTTTTTGAGCCCATCCAGTTCTGCCAAAAGGCATATGGTCATGTTGGCACTTACTCTGCGCAATCCTTTGCACATTCAGAGCATCACATCAACATTGATTAATTGTCAGAATGCTCATATGAGACAAGCAAATAGAAATATGACAGCCAGATGCCACAAACAGCACTGTATTCAATCAGATCATTTTATTGCCATTGCTTTTCCCCCATATTTTCAGCCTCTATAGTGCAACCTCAGTTGCATATTCTCAAGAGGCACACAATACAGTACACATCTACATCACTAATACAAGTTGCAAAGTAAATGAATTGTGGGAGGTGGGGGGAATGGAGCTGACCATTCCTCTGTAAGATTAAAAACCATTTTGGGATTTTTATTAGAAAACTAGGCCATACAATTCCTAAACTTCCTTTTCATCCCAGTGTTTCTCAGGTACTTTGTCCTTCACAAGACAATATCTGCCTTCAGGGAAAACAGTATGTCCACTGTTCAAGCATTACAACTTGGAAGGGCAGAGGAGCAAATACAGCACACTTAACTAAGTGAAACTACAAATGGCATTTAGACTGAAATAATGCAAAGAGCCTAAGAGTGAACATCCTCCTCCTCTTAAAAAAAAATGGCATAGAGACTTTAAGAGCCACAGCTTGTCAGCATCTTCCTTTTCGTCATTGGAGGAGCATGCTGGCTCCTTAAAAGGATGTCTACATGATGCTTCCATTCTCTAAGGCAAAATATGAAAGGGGTCAAATGACTCATTATGGATCAAGACCTCACAGGACCCACTAATGCTGCATCCCCAGGCAGAGCGAGCACATGTAGAACTTACAATACTCCCATGGGAAGATACATACTGAAGGAACCAAGGGGAAATTGGGAAACAGACTGAAACCTGCCATGCTGGGAAACAGACTGAACAAGCTTACACTCTGAAAGGATGCAATATATGGCTTGAGTTTACAGTTTTGCCCTTGCAATCATAAGTTGTCCAGAACTGAAAGCAGTTCTGGTAGTAAGTCATACTCCCACTACCTGGAATGAAGGTGGTTGTTTCTTCAAACACCTTTGAAGAAATGTGGAACAAATCTGCACATGGCAGGACACCAACAGAGATTTCACAACTAACACCTTTATATTCTTCTCAAAATTAGCCAGGACAGCCATGTTTCAAAGATGACAGCTGTCTTGGCTGACTTTTAGACAAGCTACCCATGCAGTGACTCTTTAACTCTTTTCTGTCACATTATACAACTGCAAGCATTTACTTAAGACACATCAGTACAGGATGTACTCCAAATTAGTCCCTACATCGCATGTTAATGACTTCTGAAGGCACTGGCTTTAAGAGATTACATAGTGTGCTCCTACACCTACATAAATGTGGCATTTATCTGGCTATTGTTCTAGACTGTGTTGGTTGCCAGCTGTTGTTCTGGGAGTCAGATAATGTAAATAATTAGCAGGCAGCACATTCTTCCAGCTGCCAATGCTGTAACAATTTCTCAGATGTTATCCCAGAATTAGGTTTAGTCCTGATTATTAAGCACTTGATAATAATGTGTGGTAAAAGACAACTGTAACAGAATGAACAGTGTACAGGAAGAGCTCATTTTTTATCTCACTGGCTTTCTGCCTCCCTTTTCATCAAATTCTTCAGGAGTGGTAACAGTAGATTCAAAAGCAAATTTTCTGCATGCAGACAGTACTTTCTTAGCCCTCCTTCCTGCATTTCCATCACATCTCTGTTAATAGTGGTATGTTTTCATTAGTGATGGGGCATCGGTAGCTACTGCCACAAGCTGAGTCACATTCAGGTGTGCACTGCTATTCAGAAACAGATGTTTCCCTCTTACAGCTAACCACATGGGTTAGCAGTTCTACACAAAACCTGTCCACATCCGGTTGGGCAAACCACAGAGAGTCATCAGTACACTCACATCCACTCCCTCCCTGTACACAGGGCATTTTTAGGAGCCACCATGTATTTTAGAGGTGCAATCCACTGTGGTTTGATTTTTATGCTTCATTCTCAGAACCAGTGGACCCCTCCCTGAGGTTCTGTGAGCCCTGAGAGCTGCAGAAAGGTCTTCTGTCACTGCTCAGGATGGAATATAAGTTATTTTAGCCCTTGCAAGAGCCAATGACTTCATGTAAGCTTCTGAGTAGAGACAGATACCAGCAAAGCTGCTGGTACTAACATAAACTTACCTTTGTCTGGAAAAACAAGCCTTCTGCAAATGTTTGATGAACCATCAGACACTTTGCGAGGATCTGCACCTCATCATCACTTGTAGAGTGCCCAAGATCTGGCATTAGTGTATCTATGTTAATGAAGACTCGGTGTTTAAGAAAGAGATCAGCTCACAATTAAAACTATACTTCCAAAATGGGAGTTTAAAATTAGCATGTCTATAGGCTTTTTAAACTGGAGTATAAGTTGTAGTATATATGGACTGGAGCACATCCAATTAATAAAGATACAAAGTTCTTTAAGAAGGTAAAACCGCAGCCTCATATACTGTCTTAAACTTTCTCCAGTCACCCAAGCAATCACATTCACCCTAGTATAGTTGTGGACTTCAACTCGGAAAGCATTAAACGGATTCTAATCCAGTGACATACTATGTTGACTTTGTTGGGAGCATAATTAAGCCCCTGCTACTTGAAGTCTTCACCAAAAACTCTCCAAGTTTCTTTTAGTGTCACTACTGACACACTGACAAAGCCAAAAATATTCATTACTGTGTAGGAGTTAAGTGTTGTGGATACAGCAGATCTTAAGGGCTGAAGGCACTCAGTATTTGGATGCAATTCCTGGAAAAGCGTCAGGAAGCTTTTTCATTAACAGTGTTAAATCAGCAAGCACCATAACTTTCCAGTTACACAGTTATTAAGCTGATTTTTCAGTACCTGCAGAGGCTTCAAATGTCTGGAAAATATATTTTGTAAAACTGAACTACCAACTCTGACTATTAGAAGTTTACCAGATTATGTTCTGCTTGTACAGGAACATTTGCATTGTGTTCTGAGTATCAGTACTATTGCTGCAAAACCGATGTGGAGACTGCACTGACCTCTACTCAAGTTCAGCTCTGCAGGGTAATATATAAAAGTACTGTTCTGGGGCAATAGCTTAAAGATGAGGTAACTCATGTCTGAGCTTGACATATTTGATGGTAGCCAAGTCAACAGCCTGAAAATGTTAGCAAGGTACCAGAGCTAAACCCACTTTCCTCTCGGATGACCTCTCATTCCTTGCTGGAAGAAACCAGGATGAAAGTGTAGATCTGAGGTCTGAAAGATAGTTCTTTTCTTCAAAAACTCCATTTTTATTCTAATGCCACTACTACGAGGCTGCTGAAGATTATAAAATGTGTAATTACTCCAAAAGAGAAGCTGGGGGATAGGCAACAGAGTCCTTCAGCATGACTGACATTCTACTGAGGGGTAAAAAAAAATAATCCATGTGAAAGAGCTTGTTAGAATATGAGAGCCTATGAACTTGGGAGGTTTATCCAGGCTACAGACTATGCAGCAGCACCTTGCCTTTGTTGCGTTTCCCTGCGTAACCCTACAATGTAGAAGTGGCCTTGTAACATGGTTCATTTTAAACTGTGACTGATCAGAAACTTGACTGTGCTGATAATCCAGTTATGTTTGGGGAATTACTGTGTACTGGTTGATTAAATTAAGAGCTGAAGACAGAATTAGGTACCACTTGCCACAGATATATATCCCTGTAGGCTTGTGTACATGTCTCATGGTTTGCTGTAACAGGCTATGCAGCAAAATTCTGAAGAGACAGATGATACAGGCAAGAGCTGTTCAGGTTAATCTGTGAATAGGCAAGGCAGGAATGTAAGGGTGAGGTATAATACTCTCTTTGATTACAAAGAGAAACAAACTGGCCTAATAAAAACACATACAAGTCCCATTTTCAAAACACTGTCCCACTTCTGTCACCACTGGAAGACCCAAACCAAGCTGCAACATCAGGACTATTTCTTTTTCTACTGTAACTACACCAAATAAGCTGTGCTTGTTTGTTTGTGTGTGGTATACTTCACCGGCCATAGCTACACTGTCATTGTTTAAGATTACACCAAAAGAAAAGCAGTAAAAGGATGTCATTTTGTATGGGACAACCCTTGCACACCATTGGATGTTGCAGTTCTTACAATTAAATAAACGATAGGAACATGCCAGATGGCTTCTCTTAACCCGACTTTCTATCTCACAACAGATGTTGTGACTGCTATGTAAAATTTATAGTGGGAAAATTATATGCATTAATTATTGTCTTTCTTAAAGAAATACGTGTTGGTAGCAGGACAGATATTTGCAGCCAATTTGCTTCACATCACTGTGTATTTTTCAGAGATCTCTCCCAAGTATTTTAAGAGTGATTCAGCAGTAATTCCAAAACAATTCTCATAAATTCTTTACCATGTTTGGACATAGAAACTTCTCCCCCCACCCCCTTTTTTTTTTATTTTGGAGCATGCACTGCAACTTACCAAATGCAAGATTTCTGGTGCAACTTGAAAGCGAACTGTATTCTAGGCTTGCAAATGATCGGTGATTTCAGTTTGGGATTAGCAGCTCACCAGTCAAGAAGAACTATTACTGGTAGAGAGAAGGCTGCGAGTCAAAACACAAGGCTGGATTCCCAGTAGCATTCAAGACCTGTGAATTCAAGCACTCGGCTACATTTAAGCATTTTATTTTCCATTACATACAAATACTTCACAAGGATAATATAGCAGAGGACAAAATGTACTGCGTGCATATGCAAAGAATAAACTAGTTAATAGTGAAAACTTTTGAGATTTGCTGTGAAATCCTAAGAACCGAGTTATGCTTCTATTCTATAAAACATTCATAAATATGCATGGGGTTGTGTTTTGGGCAAGAATTGTTGCTGAAATGAAAGCTCAGGGCACACAGCTCTTAAATCTTCACTGACGGATGAAGATAAGATACAATTTCTTCTCAGGCAAATTATAAAATGCCTGATTATTAAATTATGAATTAGTGAAATTCTCACATATTTCATCCATTGCTGTTAAGTAGTTTAAGATGACAAAGGTTCTATTTGTAACCAACTTCCAGTCCTGATATTTCTACAAGGTATACAGAAATTGAATAAAGTTAGTTGTATGAAAACTGCATTTTAACAAAGAGTGCATTAGACTTAACAAGGAATAATAATAATAATAATAGAACCCCAACAACTTGTGTTAATAAGTGTCCTGAGAGTAACAAAAAAGTAGACTGTGCATTACTCTGCTTGGTTTTCTGAAAGGAACGCTCCTGCCTATCCACTACTTGGGCAGTGGTATTTTGTCTCGAGATGTATATGGGTTAAATGCCTCGAGCAACATTCTCAAAGGCAAGTTAGTTGCTGTAACCCACACACAATACAGAACAAGCAGAAAATAATATATTTCTTTAAGTTACTGACCTCCAGATCCAGACGGACGCAGTAAATTAACAGATAGCCTAAGGGACCGTAAAAACCAATGAAAGACATAAACCATGTATACTATATTAAATGCCAGACTTCAGGACCAGGCATTGATTTTTATTGTTAAACTGCATTACTACTGCTGCAGCACAAGATTCACTAGAGACTTCTGTATTGATTTTGTCGAACAGCAATCAAGAGTTCAGTTTTTAATGGCATGTAGCTCAAACTGAAGTTCCCACTTACTGCACAAAGGTTTTAATCAATTAAGTCTTCCCATTACATACTCTCATTCACCCTGTATAACTGTCCTGCATAAAAACATAAAAGAATGACAATGTCATTTTGTTATCATTAATACTCCATGAAATTCCCTTTACTCATTAATTTAGTAACATTATAGATCCTCAGTGTGCAAGGCTTCAGAAGCAGTCTAAAAATCCTGTCACAGATTTTCTGCGTGACTGCTCATCTTTGCAACTTGGAATTATACAACTGTAATGAAAGACAAATCAAGTATTGGAGAAAATTAATTCCTTCAGTTACACAGCACTCTGACAGTCGACTTGACCTTATTTCATGGGGTCCAATTAAGATTCCTCTGCCATCTGAGGTTTAAATGCCCACTATTGATCACAGCTCCAGCATTGAAGACAATAAACCCTTTCTCCATTACTCCAAATGAAACATCCTTTATCTTTGGCAAAGATGATGAAATCACCAAAATAAATCCACCATAAAGCTGAAAAATTACTACCAATTGCGGACTTTGCGGCACATAAACTGTTCAAATTGTGCATGACTACTCCACACGTGGAATTACATGTACAGAAATTCATTCTGGTTTTACATTTGCAATCTCTGCGTGATAACTTTTGATGGAGACAATCTGTTGCTACCATAGAGCAAAGCTATGAAAACCTGAAGCAGTACTCATACACTTGCTGAGTCCACTGCAAAAGCAGGGACAGATATAAAGTATAATTATGTGGAGGGTTAGATTTTGAGGAGACAAATAATTAAGAATTCCAGCTGATAATATGAAACAGAGGGAACTAATAAAAAACCATTGGTGTGAAAAACAAGATACAGAGTGGTTAAAATATAAACAAGATATGAGCTTATGCCTCACAAATGAAGCAAAATAGAATAAATCATGACATATTTGAAATGTTAAAATGAAGGAAAAAAAACAACTAATTAAGACTTGCAGGCAATAAATGACCATTATAAGCTTATGAATTGACAGCACAGTCTGAAAGGATTCAGATACATAACTAAATGACAGGCAGTGCTGCAACAGGAAAGTAGCTCCCTTGATACAAAGCACAAAGTATGAAAATTAGCCAGCTGGGTTAGGTGTAAATAGCTTTTCACACCTTCCTAGTAAAAGGGCAATTGGGATCACTTCATAAAAATAGGTGCTGACAGAAACCAGCTAGTGGACTCTCTGGTTAGTGCTCAGATTAGCTCCTCTGAATGTTAACATACAGATGTGACTTTGACTGTGGAAAATGCAAAAATTACTGCTGGGTAAACAAAAAAAAGAAATATGACAAGAAAAGAAGAAAATTGGAACAAATAACCACCAAAGGAAAAAAAAAGGGGTCTTGACCCTTAAGTCTGCAACCTCTGAAGAACTAGAAATGTGAACAACAAAGAGCAAGGAGCTTCCTGAAAAACTAAGTGATAAACCATTTCTGATGCTGAGCAACCTAGGAAAAGAACTAAAGCAGATGTAATACATTCTCTATTTAAAAATTCAACCTGTTTTCCAACACTGTTGAAACTGTTCAACTCTTCCCCTGAGAAGAATGCTCTGTGCAATGTATGTCATGAAGTACTCTATGAAGTGATGAAGTTTCTGATAAGAAGTGATAATTGGCCACAGTACCAAGGCAAACTGAAGTTGTGTGTTAACTCCCAGAACTGATCACTTCCCTGAGTTTGAAGTTTTAACAGAAGACACATTCAGCTGTGTTACTGTGCTGAAATTACTGTCCATGGAGTCCAAGTTAAGCAGGAAGATTACCAGAAAGTGATGATAGTTAAACTGACACAAAGATGAAAATAATCATTCTGCTCACACCTTAAGAGGACTGAGTGGCAACTACATGCTTCATTTACAGTGTGGCAGTATCTTCTGGAGGCAAACTGAGCTGCCTACCAGTGAAGGGCTACAGAGACTACACATTCCAATGTTTCAGTGAGAGGAGCTTTTCCATGCAAGCCATCAAGACAGGCACCAGAACTGGTCAGGTGCAGCAGTCCAGAATTCAGCAGAGGCCAACAGGTTTTAAAGAGTAAGAAGCATTACTAACATGAGCAGACATTGTTGCCGCACATCAATTTTCATTAGAAATGTACTTAGGAAGTGCAACACTTTCAGTTTTGTAATCCCCATCAGCATGAGCTGGATTTCTGGGATGTCTCGCAAACTGAGTTGCGCGTGGTCCTGCCCGTGTTTCCTATTTTAAATCACTCAAACAAACATGAGACACTATGCACCTCAAGCATAGGGAGCCAAGTGACTATTTTAAGGAGAAAAACAACACCATAGGTCCATCAGGTTATTCAACAGCAATAAATGTTTCTCTACGTAATGAAACATGAACATTATACTAGCCACACAAGACTGCCATACCCATTTTGTGCCACTAAGCAACACAGAAAGGAAATGCAACCCAATATATGAAGGCAATGATCAAAACTAACCTGAAAGTACCAGGGGAAAACCAAGCCGCACATAATCCTTCAAACTTCATAGAAGAGTGGTATGCTCTTAAAAGAATTTAATTAAACAAACGGGTTTTGGCAAACAATGAAGTACGATACGTTCACAAAACATGGGTAAGAGCTGTACAACCAATAGGACTAAAAGGAAAGCAACACTGCCTTTTAAAAGATTTAACTGCTCATACCATCAGCAAGAAAAAGCCATCAAAATTTGGCTGCTCTTTCAGATGCATTCCACTTCCTTTCATCTTGAATGAGTTCTCCTCAGGCTCCCATGAAAAAGCAGCTTTTTATTGGACAGGAATAAACCAAATAAACTGTGAAGCTAATATAAAATGCAGCTCCTTTTAAAATCTCAAAATAAGACCTATTCCTTTCCTCCACCCACCAAACCTTGCCAGACAAGAGCTACGTAATACTGGGTAGTAGCAAGGCAGGAGAATGAGCTTTTGTGGGAAGAACAAGATTGCTCTTACTTTCAGAACCATATTTCAGGCTGCCTTTACAAAAACGAGGGGATGATAAAAAAAAAACAGCTTCTTGAAGCCAGATTAATGGACACTGAAAGGTCAGTCTGGAGACTCTGTGCCTGAGTCATAAGCAAACCAAGACTCCACTATCCTTTATGTTCTGTATCACAGCAAGGAAATTATCTGTGCTGTATATGGAAAATCAGTCGCTCTGTTATTGTATACAACTGTGGCTTATAAATGAAAAATTAGATGCAGGATGCACAAGATCTGTGTGATTCTACTACAAACAGTACTTTATATTAAAACAAACTTCATAAAACAGCATTCATAATCTCCATAAAACAGACCCAAAAACCTAATCTATGTGATCCCCCCAAATCTCACATCTTTTCTGGAGTTGCTCCTGTTCCTTTCTTTTTTCTTATTAAGATTATTCCTTATTGTACTGGAATTCATTTACAGTTCTAAATGGTGTTTCTTCCTGTATTCTTTTCTGTGAACGAAGGCCACATACTCAGCATTATTTGCTACTTTCCTCTACTCTCTGCAGAGACTTCAGGCATTCACTTCCACAAAAGGACAAGATGTTATTCTTGATGCCTTTGTTTCTCCAAAACAGCAGCAGCAACAAACACACTATCCACATCACCAGAGATGTGGCAGGCACCTCTGAGAAAAAAAAAAAAATCCATAACAAAAAGCAAGGATTAGATATTCTTTACCTTTGGGCTAGGAAAAGAAGTGCCAAAAGCATCCCTGACACAATAAGCTACAGTTTCAGATGTTGCTATGCCTCCATTTGATTACAGAACGTAGAAGAGAGCGCTTCATCACCACTGATATTTATTTCCAATCGTGGGAGTGAAATGACAACTGACACCCAGTGGGAAATGAAGCACAAAGACTTTAATTGCCCACCTGTGCTCATACCTAGATCATGCTAAAAATGCTGAAGGACATGTCAGCCTTGTCTGCATGCCAGTTATAATCCCCAAAATCCTGCAGACAGCAAGGACAAGCTTGCTGAGAAATGAATTTAGCCAAGTCAAATGTCTTTCCAAGCATGAATCGAGCCATATGGTTTTCCATGTAACACGTCTATAGCTTAAATTTTCACCTGACATACTTAAGACTCAAAGGAATAAATACATGCATTTTCTCACTGAAGCGCCTGAGGATTCTATCATTATTAGTAATATTATTGTTCCCAACAAATAACCGTTACCTTCTTATATATCAGTTCACCTCTGTGAACTAATTTCTAAACTAAGAAAGAAAAACCTGATTCAGAGCTCAGGCTCCCCATGAAGTATTGCCTGTAAAGGACCATCACTAGACTGCCTGATCTGTGTATGGCACAGCAAGATTCTGGACTTCCTCACTTGCTGTTGAGGATCTTTTTCCATCAGGCACCTTAGGGCTCTGCAATCTGTGCAGAGCATTAACAAATCACAATGCTCCTTGTTTAAATCAGAGTGTTATCTTAGACCTATTTTGCCCTTGCTTTATATACATGTGACAATAAAGTGTGTATCACCTGAAAATAAGATCCTTAAGTCAGTTGTGGAAATAGAGGTAGGAAGGAAGAACTGCTGTAAAACATTAGGAAGGAATGATACTAGGGGTCTTTTTTGCTTTCAAGAAGTAAGAAAGATATTGGGAAGGAAAGAAAACAAGAGTCAGGTAGAAAAGCAATGCTGAGAGCACTCAACAATAAGGAGCAGGTATTGGATATGCACTGTATTTCATATCAAAGGAGTACGTAAAGCTACATTTGCTCTATAAAGAGCATAAAACCAAATAAGAGATGTGGATCTATCCAAACAGACATCATTAAGACAGATGCTGGAAAAAAAATCAAAATATGTAAAGTCAGTATTAATGTATAACACACATTAAATCTCACCTATCTCATTACCAAGACTTGTAGCAGGTGATTTTGTGAAGACTGAAGCAAGAGTACTTCACATTTACTAATCTCAGTTGCAGACCTCAAGCATTCTTCTCCCATAATCATGTTTGCTGTGGGAGGATGTGGGGGCTGTAATTGTCCCACTGAGGGCTTCTGACAGATGATCATATTTCAGATAGCTGAGCCTGTGAATCTGTAAAATTTACTTTGACTTACTACATTAAAAGTAAAACAAAGCACTCAGAACACTGGCAAAAAAATATGAAAATGTCTGCTCCTAAAAAGATGCTCTACAAAATGAATCTTTTTTTACCTTAGCCATGTAATTTTAAAGATTCCAAGTAAATACAGCGAATCTTACAAAAGTCTGGGATGCAGGGAGTCAGCTGCTATGAAAATGAAGCTGAAAAGTTTCAAACACTCGTACTATACACAATACATAAAAGTGAGGCATACATTCACAGAATCTAGGCCTCCATTTTAAAGGCTATTTTCTCTTAACAGAGACTACTGTTACAGTATTGAAACCAAGCAGCTCTGGATGCAAATTCATACCAGTCTGTACAGTTATCCATACATACCTTGAAGTTATTGCTTTGCTCACACTGTTTGGAAGAGCATCAGGTAACTGTTTGATGATGTTACATATGTTGGACATATGTGCTCCAAATTAAATCTGTACAAAAAGAGCAAACAACATTTTTAGATTAAACTTCGAAAGAGGAAATGAAGCTGCATTCTTGGCCTTCTGCAATATAAGACTTGTCCTTTTGGAAATGTTCATAAAGCAGTCAGTTAGCTCAAGATAATGCCATATGTTCAAAGTCAAAAAACACTTTTTCCCCAAAGGGGCAAGTTAGGACTACTGGTGCTGGAGAAGGAAGAAATACTTGATTCACTGCCAGTGTCTGAACTCTCAGAACATTGCTGATCGCAGCTCTGAGAATCAAGCTCAACACCAGAGCAGCTATTTATTTTTGTTAACTTGTTCATAGTTTTCCAACTTTTCAACTCACATCACCATTAGGAAATTTTAGCCTTCCCATCCTTCACAGTCTGGCTACATCTTTTTCCCCACCAGAAGTGGTATATGAGGGATATTTGTAGCTCTGCCACACATTTGTAACACTCCTTTTGTAGCATTAGCTTGAGTATCTGTATCCATGATTGAGCATACACTTACAATTAATGAATGAGGTTTCTTATTTATAATTCATTAACTCTTTAAAACATTTCAGTCCATAGTTTTCATGGATTTAGGAATCCCAGATGGAAACCTTTAAACATCTCTAATCTTTCAACCCAATATTGCGATCCATCAAGCTCTTTTTTCATGCAAAACTTCTAGGACCTTCAAATGGCATCATGACATGCTGGTTCTAACCACTGCAAATACTTGAGAAGAATCAAATTGACTGCTGTGCCCAGGTAAGGTGGGAAGAGTTTAGACCACAGCAGTTCAGTAGAATGAATGGTTTTCTAATAATCACACAGTGACAATTCCCTTATCTTTTCCCAGTTGCAATCCTACCTACACAAACACACACACACACACACTTCTGCTGCTGGCTGCTGAAAGACTGCAAATTTTCATCTGCTGCTCTTTGTGGTACCTTAAAACTCTGAAGACTGGTCTACTTTTAAGAACTGTATAGCTCTGAGTCAGTTAAGAAAGTGACGTCTTTCATCCTATATAAAATATAAATCACCCAGACACTCTAATATTGTAAACAGCACCTAAAACTGGTGGCTGATTTGGATTTGCCATGATTTGCCAACACAGCCTATCAATCTAGCATTTGAGAGCTTACTCTGTGATCAATTAACTCTAGGCATACAGCAGGCAACGTTGGCAAATGGCAGACTGAAATTGCTCCATTCGGGGAGCATATGGTTGGAATTAGCAGGTAATAGTTTCATGTAGAATATAGCACACTTTCATAACCAAAGTAACACACACTCATTTGGAGGAGTGCAAGTACCATTTGTGGAGCACTCAATATTGAAGTTTTTCCTAGTATCATACATAGAACCATCCAGCCTGTATGTTTAACATTAATCCTGCCTATGAACAAACACATATCGTGTATTTTCAGTCCTGACTGGCAGCTATACACAAGGCACTGAACTAAAAGCCTAAGACTCTGTCTGACCCACATGGAGGAACTCTAAATGCTCAGAGCAGCTGATTACATTGCACTGTTCTAGAGTTACTCATCCCACCCCATACAGCTTCTGCTTCCAGCTAAAAGCACATTTGTTATTAATTTTTCCAAGACAGCTCCTGGGAGAAAACAAGCCTTTCTTTCTGTTCAGATTTTTAAATAAAACACAACCAAGTAACAGAACCAAGACAGAACCAAGATACACATTTGACAGTGTTTAGATATAACTGAAATTTACGCTTCCTAATTCAGGGCAGGCTAGAAAATCCCTTAAGTGCTATGAAAGAGGTTGCCTGAGCACTATGTACTTTCAAAAGTGCCATCCCTTATTCAATGACACACCATCAAAAATGATGGCGCATTAAATTAGCATATCAGAAAGAAAAAGATGGCAAGAACTGTGGATTAGAATCTATTCTCAATAAAATTCTCAGGGTTTAAATACTCTTGGCAGTGTCACCAGCATTAAAACCCCTTTTATATATCCATAAATGATCATGAGCTTTGAAAGTAAGGAAACAGTACACAGAACTACATTCGCTGTTTGCCTGGGCACAAGGATGCTGTTGGCATCTGGGTTTGACCTGAGGTTTGAACAGTGAGAAATCCCTTCAGAATCTCATCTACTTGCTCCTCCACAGCTCCTTTTAGAGTTGTTTTAGTGTCCACAAAAACTTACCAGAATCTTAGATTTACTGGTTAAGGAAGTTCTTGAGGACTCTGAAAACAGCCTTCCGTTTCTCCCCCTTTACTGTTTTATAATCTGTACAGATACAGCCACATTCTAGATGTGGCAAAAAGTACTCTTTGAGGCTTAGCAGGCCCCTCACCTGCATCACTGCTTTAAGATGCTGCTTAGAGTTCTGCCTCAGCCCCACAGAAATCCTCCCGCTCCCTTATTATGGGGAGAATGTTAAAGGGGTTTATGATAAACAAGTGTGGGTGGGAGCCTGGGGCTCTCTTTGCTCCCAAGATACAATACAAATACGTAGCCAGCCTCCATGCAAAATTAAAAACATTATTAAAATATTTTTGCAGGCTGCATCTGTTTTCAACACCCACAGCCTTGCTCCTGCCTTGGTACTACTGCCTACCGATGTGAGCCTGTCAGCTTTAGATAGAAACCATTTTAGAGAGGAGGGGCAGTAAGGTTAATGACAGCTAACTTTTATTGTTCAGGTTGCATATGGCCAAAGTTAAGGACTTCTTTTTTGCATAATGGCAAGATCTCTGCATGTACACTCATACACAGTTTTAATAAACAAATAAGCTCAGCCTGTGGTAGCAGACAAGTTCATTACTGCAGAACTGCCATGAAAGTGACTCTTCAAAGACCATGCGGCACCTTCAGCAAAAACTACTTGGTTTGCTATTTCTTCCTGATGCTCTTTGACATCTCCAGGAGGGCTGGATGCTTTCTGTGCTAGGGTAACTTTGACATTAAACAGGTCTGAACTTTTAGGTCTGTCCCTGATCCAACTAAAACTTTGAACTGACAAAATTCTGTTGCTCTGCTTCTTAGACATATTCCACTGTTAGTCTAAACATACCAGTCACATTTTCCAGTTGCCCAGGCAGCTGTACAATTATTAGAAAGTTGATTCCAGAACCACTGCACTGAAATTGGTTTTAAGAACTATTAACCTATGTAAAGGTACATTGTCAGCTTGGATTCCTCACAGCTGTTGAATATGCTGTATATCTTTTCTAAGCCGTATCGACTGTGTGTGAATAGTCAATCGCTGTGAATTGGGAAAATGCCAAGGGTGCTGTGAAAGCATACAGGACATCAGTGTCATTCTTAAAGTTTTCTACAACTTCTGCTATTTACATAATGAAATTTGAACTTTTTTCCCCACTGTTATTATTTACCTAATAATGAAAACTCATGCTTTCTTAAATGCACTGGCTTGAGAACATGGGAAATAAAAAAAACAACATGAAAGTCTTTAGTCCAATAGTCCCTCTCACTAAGAGTTTCTATTAGTGTAGAAACGAAAAAGTTTCAGCAATCTAGACAGTTGCAACTGAACATTGCCTTTGATGTTGTCAGGAACAGTAACACACTTTGAACGTGGGATGAAATGCAAGAGGGGAAAACAGCAAAAGTAGATGCCATCGCTCTAATAAACCATCCAAGTTTACGTCTGCTTCTAGCCACCCTCAATTAAGGAATGGAAAAAACAGTGGATTTCCCCCACACCATAGATACTTGAGGTTGGCCCTGCTTCACATGGGAGATCAGACTTGATCTCTCTACCAACCTCATCATTCCAGTTCTAATTCTAATCCCCTTAAGCAATGCACTTGAAAATGGCTAGAAACTGCAGGGTAAGAAAGGATTCATATGATTACAGTAAGTTTCTGACAGTAAGAAGTTTATTTGCTTCATGACTTTTCAATTTAATTTTGTTCATTCAGATTCTACTCTAGAAATGGGGTAACAGCAGAAGCCACATTGTGGCATAGCAACTACAGTGCACAGCCAAGTGGGACCGTGCCTCAAGGGGTCATGATGAAATAGGGAACACTAACCTACAAACCAGTCACAAGCTGGAAATACTTGCACCATGAGATGAACCACTGCTTCAAATCCTAGACAAAGTGCCAGAACAAAGACACACTGGCTGAGAAATAGCCTCCTCTGTTCAGGATCACACTGTCAAAGAAAATGGATGTGAGCAAACAGCAAACAAGCGACTGTCAAAGATTATGTGTTCATTTGGGATGTTTTCCCACAATGTTGAAAAACTTAGCTGTGACAGTGCCCTTTTCTAGAGCCTTTCCTTAAACTCCGAGGTCTTGTCATTCACAAGAAACACCAACACAAATTCAGAAGGACAACTACAGTTAAAAATAGAACAAAACCAGCAGGTAAGAGCAGTTTCATTGTTGCCTGCCTTAACAAAGGAAAACTCACCTGACAGAAATACATTTCTTATTTTTCCGTCCTCCTTACAGCAAGACAAGAAAGCTCAGTTTATTCTATTACTCTGGATTTGCACAAGGATAACTAACTCCAGTAACATCACTTCAGTTATTCTGGCATGAACCCACTATAAGCAAAAGCAAAATTTAGTCTCTTGTTTGTTCTTCAGAAGGCTCCTGACCCTTAAAGCATCAG